TCCATGTGGTAGTTGGACTTTTTGGATGAACGAGGCTTTCCATCCTTCGACTCCTTGCCGTCCTTTCCATCTCTATGGCGAGCCTCCCGCTCCCGGCGTCGTCGCTCACGACGGCGTCTCTCGTCCTCGGTATCCACAAGCTTGGGGGTTCGTTCCATGATCGACGACTCTGAGTTGCGACGAGGCCTCCGCTCTCTGTAGCCTGATCTACCGCCACTGCTCGTCTTCGGGGGGTCGGCAAAGATGTCCAAGGGATCTTTGTCGCGACGTTCTGGGCGTTCCCTGGGCGGAGGTCCACGGTTCGTCGGGTATCCGTTGGGCGCGGGCTTGTCCGGGCGCGGCGGAGCTTGTCTGTAACCAGTGTTCTGGGGAGCAGGGTTTACGGAAAGGTTCTCCTATATCACGTAGTTCTAGGTCAGTTCGGCTGAGCGACGGTGGTCAGAGCTGCGAAGTGAGCATACAAAGAGTTCACGTGTGTTCGACGTCATGTCCTGTCTCTCGACCGGGGAGACCATGGTTGACCCTATCACGGGAGCGGACTGCGGCGACAGGGTGTCGTCGTCAAAGGGATTCGTAGAGACTCGGCGTTCAGATTGGCCACTGGCGGATGCGAAAGAGCTAGCGGAAGGCGACAGAGCACGATTCCGGAAGGGATTGTTGGAGCCCAGATTGACAGGGGCTGGGCCGAAAGCTTGTTGGACAGGAGAGCCTGTAGTCGAGCGGACGATAGATCAAGGTTAGTTTTTTTTGTTCCCTTTTCGCATGGGGAAGCACGGTCTGAAATAGAAAAGAAGGCGGCACAGGACAGATAACACTCTGACCAAGGGGAAGCCCCGCCAGAGGTGAAACGGCTGGGAGATAACAAAGAATCCTGGAAGGAGGACAGGACCAGGGGACAAAACAGGAATCAGCAAGATGACGCACCTGAGGGGCCCAGCGTCACGCCAGGTGGGTAGGCGTAGGTGGCAGGCTGTTGAGAGGCATACATGTTGCGAGTCCACGCAATGCGATGTCGAGATGGGAGTAGGTCAGAGGAGATGATTGGGGAATGAAGAAAGACAGCATAAAAAGACAGGAGTAAGTGGATGATCAGGAGGCCGAGACTGTGAATGCAGACGCCAGACTAGAGAGAGCTTAGGCGTATGCTGAAACGACGATGCCACGGGTGTCGGTCAGGGGCAAGGAGAAATAATTGAAGGGAGAGGGAGGGGACCGTTTAGTTTAGTTGGTACGGAGCGGCAAGTTGGACCGGTCTTTCAATTTAAGATTGCTTAATTCCACTTGAGGAGGGGGGGAAAGAAGAAGATGAAGAAGAAGAAGAAGGAAAGGCTTGAAATTTTCTCCGGATGAGATTAGAATGTTTGTTTGAACGAGGGAGGTATGGGTGTGTGGGGGGGAAGATAATTTGTAAAGAGAGGAAAAGAGGGGAGTGAATTAACAAGGAGAGAAGAAGAGCGAGAGAGTAAATTAGTGTGAGGGAGGGAGAGGGAGAGAGGGAGAGAGAGAGAGAGAGACGGGGGAGAAGATGGAGCGGAGGGAAAGAGGGAGACAGAGAAAGCCGAGGGTGGGTTTAGTTACCGTACGGGCGGAGTAACTTAGTAGTTAGTAGTAGTAAGTAGTAAGTAACTTTAGCATCAAGTCATCAGTCCAGTTAAGTTTGGAGCAACGCACGGGAAAAAAAAGGATAAAAACGAGAGGAGAAGGAGGAGAGGAGCGAGGGAATGACGGGTGCCAATGAGGATCCAGAACCCCTTGGGGAAAATGATGGACGGAACCACTCGAGCTGCTGGAAAGAGGCAAAAGAAGGGCCCGGAGAGGCGATCGTCGACGCGGCAAAAGGAGGAAAGGAAGACAGAGAGAGAGAGAGAGAGAGAAAGAAAGAGGGAGGGGTGTGAGTGAGGGAATGACCCAATGATCCAACCAAAGGAGATATTACTGGAAATGGAGTGGAGGGTTTTTTATTTTTATTTTTATTTTGTTTAATTTTATCTTATTTTACTACTATTCGATGACTAGAATGAAAAAGAAGATACTAGCAGTAATATTATACGGATATTATAAATAAAAGGTATCGACTCCTTCGATGGTTGGAGGGGGAGAGATACTACAAAATAATAAAAAGAAAATAAAAAAGAAGAGAAAGAAAGGGCAAAAGTTCATCTCATCATCTCTGGTTGCCCAGGAATCAGTCAATCAATCATCAATCATCAGCCACCACCTTTTTCTTCCCACCTTCTGCCCACGCAAACTAATTGAGTCAATTTGACAGGCGACCCCAACTTTTTTTCTCAGGGGTTGGTCCGTTCCTGTGCCTGAATTGTGGATTGATTTGCTTGGTTGCTGCTAGTACACCATGCATTAATCATCTCATCTCATCTCCCAGATCCTCCCTTTATTTTTTTATTTTTTAATTTTTATTTTTATTTCCTGCTTCTGCTCCTGCGACTGCTATCGATCTATTACTCCGTATACTACGCAGAACTACGGAGTATCCTCCGATCATATGCAGAATGGCCATGTACCTAGGCACAAATTAGACACAAAAGAAAAGCTGGGGTTCATGCGACTAGTAGGGATGCGGATGCAGGAAAAACACTTTGCAGCTCCATTCAATGGTTTTCCGGTCAGCAATCGGCCAACCAACCGAATAAACTAATGACGAGCTTCGACTAGTACTGCTGCCTGTAGACTACGTCTTGAGAGGAGAGAGACGGTACTAGACTAGATAGGAGGGAACCAAACGTTCTCATCTCCACAGGTTCCCTCTCGTGCCAGTCTTCACTGACCCCCTCCCCCCGAGAATAGAAACAAACATTGGCTTCTGCAGGACACGACAGACCCGACAAACAAACACACACCTTCTTCCTTCCACCACGTTCATCTGGACTCAACTCATTATTGTTGCTGTCATCATTCTCTCGCATGGCTTAGACGTTTGAGCCCTGATTTGATTTTGTTTCCTAAAATGGTACTGGAAAATCTCAACAAACTCGTGCTCTTGCGTCAGCTCCTCCCTCAAGAATGCAAGCCCACCTGCTGCATCATCCATCCATTGTTATCCTTCCGATCGACACCGGCGGGCCTCCCACGATGAGGATGATCCCCCCCCCTTGGTCTTAGTCTTGGTCATGCTCATCCTCATCCATCTGCCGGTTAACCAGTTACCCAGTTAACTACCTACTCAATTCCAACTAGACTAGCTGCTGGTTTAATAATTACCGACTGTCTAACTAACTAAATAACTAATGAACCAACAATCCATCCCACCGGCATCTTACTAATTCCATCCATCTCTTGGTTGTGCTGCGTGACCTGCCTTGGCCACCCATTTGGTTCCTTACTTCCGCTCAATCCACCCTCTAAGTGAGGGTGGCTTGCGTATATAGGTTATAAATCCCGGAATCGCCCACTTTTTCCCCTTCCCTTGTTTTCCGGTCCGATCGCGTCCGGAATGCTGTCTTGTGTCTTGCCTGTCTGAGGCGGAGCAAGATGATGATGATGCAGCCATCCAGCCGGTGAGTTTTGCCTCGATCAAAACCGATGGAATACGACAGGTGGATGTCGCCACGGTACCGATGGAGTCGCACTCTCACTCGTGGCGCGCCTCTCTGTTACTGTGCAGCCTGTTGGCCCGCCCACCACCAGCACTGCCAGCATACGTAGTACTACCATTCCATTTATTTTTTTTTTTGCCATCAATTAAATCCACCATAGAAAAGGACTGGAATATATCCGGACTCCGCCGGCACAGCTGTCCGATCATCCTAGTCTTCGAACAGATGTCCGACCTGCAGCATAATTCCATATTGCTTTTCTCAGCCCTGGCCCGATCGTCCCGCGCCGTCTGGCTTGGATTGACGGCTGCTGCTGGAACCACCACCACTACTATCAACTAGTTGATACTAGTATCCAGTACACTATGACATTGTGACTGAATGCATGTGTGTGCATGTGGCACAGCTGTGACCCATAGTTTCGAAAGGCAGACAAAGTATTTCCAGAGCATCTCATGGCACAAATCTTGATTCCAATCAATGATGTGGTCTCGACCAGACTGTGTTGGGCCGGTTCGTAATGTCTTTCAGCTCCCTCTGCACCCGGTCTTGGTTTGACCTGCCTACTGGATCTCATACATAGTTGGCGGCCTGTCCGATCCAGGCTTATCGTTTGGATCGACAAACAACGTCATCAAGCGGTTCAGTGTTACAAAGTACGGCAGCATGCATCGATAACCGGGCGAAGGTCTCGCTCTGGCCAAGCCAAAGAATGCTTAAGATGTCATCGGATTCCCGAACAGTCAAAGGCGGGCGAAGAAGGACCACCGTCCCCTCAGAGCTTATCTCCGATGTGTTTCATACCGCAATGTGGCTCGTTTGAACTCTGATGGATACTGTTCGGAGCCATTGAGGTAGATCGAGAGGACCCTCCATCACCCAGGTGAAAGGATTGTCTGGCGATCTGATTCCGGCGCCAGTCTCATATAAATCGCCAGATGGCGCTAGTTTATCGTAACGGTCGTTTGACATTGAACGGCTGGGTCGGCGTCATCTAAATTCCGGTTTCAATTGACTAATGCTCCGTACAGCGACTAATTGACTAATTAATTACTTACTTGAGACCTGCTTCTGATTCTAAGATATTCACCCAGAAAGTTACTAATGTAAACCATTGGCATTCTGCATGGATAATGTGATTTTCTAGGTCATTCTAGTGTTTTCTAGCAGCTTTAGCCTGCAGCTGGGGATGGATAGAGAGAAGTAAAAAGGCAAATCGTGACTATTGCCCGCTGTCAACCCACTATGTACTGAAGACATAAAAATGGCTTTCTTATATTGATTCATGTGCAAGACCTAAATGTGGTCTGTAATTACTAAATACCAATGAAATCGAAGTAGTAATTCATGGCTCCAACCACGGCTCGGATAGTACTTCTAGAGTCAAGCTACACTATGCAACAGGATGAATGGCCAAACTGACACCCAGAAACTGGGTATCACATGATGGTAAGATGCCAGTAAAACATCTGAATCGATTACAATTCATCGAATGTGACTGCTGGCCAATACATCTAAGTGGGTAGGCACTAGTGGCTATAGAAGCCATCGACTATCAACCAAGATCAAAGTGAATTGGAGCTTGCCGCGTCGGAGGTGAGCCTGTCTTGGCAACCTCCAACTGCGTCGCGCGGTCTATCTGAATAGCTCCGACTCATTGCAACCTACGCACCACCAACATCTTTCTCTACTTCAAAGTTTCAGTCACCGAACCCCTCGGTCCTCTGGCTCGTTCGAGAGCATCTTCGTCGCGTCATGGAGCAGCCACCCCCAACCGATCAACCACAACAGCCTCCGCCTCCGACCCTCACAAACCCTCGCTTCACCCTCGAGCTAGAGTTTGTGTCTTCTCTCGCCAATCCCTACTATCTGTCCCACCTCGCCGTGACATATCCGAATCTGCTGGGCATAAACAAGTCCGGTGATGACAGCGACGTCAACAATGATTCCGCAGACCCCGACGCGCAGGCATTTGCAGCATACCTGGCCTACCTCTATTCCTACTGGAAGACCCCCGAATACGCTCAGTTCCTGACCCATCCCGGTGCCACTTTGCGGGCGCTACGACTACTGCAGGAGGAGAATTTCCGTCGCGACATCATTCGCCCCGACGTCATTGAAAGGCTAGCGGGGACCGATGTCGCCGCCGAACCCGTCGAAGCAGCTGCGGAGTCTGGAGAACAGGAGGGCGAACAAGCCAAAGCAAGCTAGAAATATGCGCAGTGACACTGGAAATAGCAGGAAACAGGCGTGCTGCACATTGGGCTCGATGTGGATTGGTTCGGTGGTCTGTCCGGGACGATGTCCTGCTCAAGCTCCAGGCCACTGTCTTCTACTACTTGGCTGCGGAGAGGGGTAAAATTGAGACACGATATCAGAAGATCTGCACGGGGCATGGGCATGGGCAACTTTTGTCGATATTGGGATACCTTGATGCACCGCGGTTTATGCTGCAGTCCTAATGCAACCCCAGATGGTTCATGATCTCCCCGGAGTCATGTGTGACCGAGGTATCCCCTGATCGGCCATGGAACCGGCTCATTATTGGAGCTACCAAATATGCACCTCGACAAGCACTCCTCAGGATCATCGACATACTCCTCTCTGTTTAGCTGGGATTTCCGAGCTATTCCGGTTGAGATTGCTCGATGGAGTCCTGAGCGGGCCTGGCACCTAAGAGACGGAGGGAGTATGCGCACCCCTAGAGAGCAGTCAGGTGTACGACACGACAGGAAATACCCCAAGCATCCAACATGTTCGTTTTACAAATGACTCTGTGATGCCCAGATTCTTCGCTCTCAAGCCATAGGAGGAGCAGCATCTGTCCCTGATATTCTGCCTATGACGTTGCCGTGGGGTTGTATTAGGTTGCAGGGGAAAAACTCTCCCTAGGTACCTGCTCTCTTGTAGATCGAGCATAGGAGCCAATACTGATAGACCAATTCGAATGAAAGAAGAATACATCATGTCATCTAGAGAAATAGCCTACGTAGGAAACATCAAACACCAAGTTCATATCTGTGACAATCAATCTGGTATATGGGCAAGTTCTGCGACCGCCTAACCGTGACGCGGCCGAAGCGGCGCGCCAGGCTGAATTTCCCGAGCAGGCCGTTGGTTCAATCTCGCCGCGGCAACCCAACACTAAACTTATCGCCATCCGCCAAAGAACCGGAGGGCGACACTTTTCGCTTCTGCCTCGCTTGCCAACCTCCGCGGTTGACAGTGTTCCTCTTTCTTCACTCAATCCCCCACCTCCTTGTTCAGGCTGGGTAACTACTAGTATCTCCGATGGATCAACCCCACCCGTGGTGATTGCAACTCGACCTGGAAGCCCTGTCCTCTCCTCTCCTCTCCTCTCCTCTCCTTTCCTTTCTCCTTAAACCACGTTGGCCGTTGCCGCAACCCCGTTCACCCCCCAGTAAGGCCTTAGCGACGTGACACACCTTACTTCCTCATGGTCTTTTCCTGTTAGAGATCCTTAATCAGTCCTTGAATATACTTGCCTCCAGGTGACCGAAACGGTCACCGGATCTGCACCCTGTTTTATTACAACCGTTGAAAATCTGCAGTATACAGTCATCGGGTAATCGCCCTGCAAATCACTTTGCCCAATGGAGGGCGTACGCCAGTCATGCCGGCCAAAGCATCAGGTCTTGGTTCTGAAATGCTATCCACAATACCAGAAGGGGATTCCGGAAGTCAAGCCGAATCCGAGTGAACTGTCCTATCTGCTCTACTATGCGAGCACTCGTCGCAGCAAGCTGACCAAGGTCGGCGCTTTCCTGGAGAAACGGGCCGCTCGGGATGTCTGGCGCCGCAAGATAGGGTATGTTGTGAGGACTAGATACACTTGGGGGATCTCTGTGGATGACGGGCTGACATGTTCTGGTAAAGCAATGTACAGGTGACACTTCAGATTCTCACCGCGCTTATCGAGAAAGTGCCCCGCGACCTCCCCATCTACGCCCGCTCCGTGCTGACGGTAATTGAAACCGTCCTACGCTCCCGTGATATAACAATCGTTGAAGACTCGATCGCGACCTTCGAAATGTTCTGCCGCCATCAGGATATGGCGGCGTTGTCGGCCGAACAGGACTTTGCGACACAATACCGCGAGGTTGTGCGGACGTATGCGAGCTTCGCTGAGGTGCATTCGCCCCAGTTGGATCCTGCTTCTAGCGGCCCTGCGGCGATACGGTGGCGCAATGCGGGACTTCGTGCGATCAAGGGAGTGGTCAGTTCCGAGGCGGGCTTGGCTGCTGATGGTGGAGATTCGTTGAGGATCATATTGCCGGTCATTCTGGAGAACGTTTGCCATGGAGATGAGGATGTTATCCCCTCTTTGGAACAGCAGCTTATGGAATCGGAGAAGAGCAGTGAAGCTGATCTTGCGCACCGGCGCCGAATCAGCAACGCTACCGTGCAGACTGTCGACACCGTGACTGGTGATCCGGCATTGGCTTCTCAGTCCGCGGCTGATGCAGACAAGAAGGCGGAAATGGATGTGAGGCTGCTCGCTCTCAGCTGCCTTGAGCGCATTGTTGTTACTGGAAGCAGCCGTGGTCAAATCCGTGTGACCACGAAGGTTGTATTGGACTTCATGCTCCGCAGAAACCGAACCACCAGTTTGGGCTTGTCCTTGAACTCGCGCGATAGCTGGGCTACGTCGTTGATTGAACTGGTCGCGAAGTGGTGCCCGGTGCAGGTGCGGTTCATCATCTTGGTTGCCGCCATGGAGCTTCTCTTCGATGCCAACCCTAGAGAGGAAGCCCTAGATGAACCTTTCATCATCGTTTACATGATTGACTGGTTGCTGAAGTCTCCTGTGAACATGATCGGTCTTAGCGTTATCGATATCCTTTTGGGTCTTCTGCAGCATATGTCGTTTCTGCTGTCGCCTGCGGGTTCGGAGAAGCAAGTCGAACTATCTGGGAAGAGAGCAGATTTGATCACTCTCTTCCAGCGGTGCATTGGAGACCTTACGACACATATCTACTATGGCGATCAAGTTGTAGATATGATTAGAGTCGTCCTGACTCGGATCAAGCCTTCATCCACCCACGAGCATCCTGCACAAGTTTCTAACGATTCTCCCGGAGCTGCTTCGCAGGCTGGCAGCTTAACTGGGGAGGCCAGTTCGATCGCGTTTTCTTCCACCACTGGACGGGTTGCCGCTCTTAGAGCTATCAAGAACATTCTGATGGTAGCGAACTCTCGGAATCCCGCAGCTGTATCTGGCGTGGAGTCCAGGAACCATGTCGGAATCCACGTCTGGGAAGGGACGCAGTGGTTGTTGCAGGAACGTCAAGGCGATGCGCGTTACGCATATGCTGACGCGTTACTGTCCTGGTTGAAACTCGAAACAAATCAGAGCGACTTGACCGTCAAGGATAAGCACGCAAAACCCTCAATTCCCAAAGGGGAACTAACGGATGTCGGCGAGAGGACTGGAAAACGATCAGTGTCTACGGCGATGCAGAGAGAGAAGGCCGCCATCGCAGCTCAATTCAACTTCCTCCGAATGCTCCACCTGACTATTTATGACATTGCGCTCGAGAGCCCGACTAGCGTTTCTGAAATCAGGTTGCTCCATTTGATCTTGGCCAGCCTTGTTGATAAGCTCGGGGTCAACGCCGCCCGGTTTGGACTGCCTATGGTGCTGAAGCTTCAAGATGATATGAATAGCGCTCCAAGCCTGGCGTCCGGTTCTGCCAAGGTCAACATTGGCAGCTTGATGTATGGATATCTGTGGGCCTTGTCCGAGCGATTCGACCTGGGATCGACGGAAGTAGGCCAAGCCATTCAACGAGAGATCTCCAAGAGGCAACAGCTTGGCCTTTGGCTTGAGCCTATCCGCTTGCCCGCCGCTGATCTCGACCAAATTCTACAAGGTGGAGATCACCGTGCCACCGGTAACACCACGAACACTGATCAGATGACTCCCTTTATCACCGACATTGAGCACCTTGTTCGTGGCATCGAAGATGCATACAACCATGCCGCGCTTGTCTCTTCTCACAGCCCTCCGGGCTCCCCAACGCGCAGCTTCACTATGCCTATCCTGGGACACGGATCTGTCTCAGCTCCGCGCGGTGATCTTCTTCCTCCACTCGTTAGGGAGCAGATGCTTTCGGCATGGTCCCGAGAATCATGCCTTGCAGCCGCGGAGCGGGAGAGGACCGAAGCGTTGTCCCTCAATGGCTCCAAGGCCGGAACAATGGCGATACGCAGTCACATTTACCTGAATGGCGCGGACGGCAGTTCGCCATCGACTACCTCGCCTCCATCTGCGCAGCAAAGTGCAGCCGGACTGCACAACTCGCGGCGGATGAGCGTCCCCGAATCTGCCCGGGGGCACATTCAGAGCACTAGCAGGGAGTCCCCGGTTCATATCAACGACCTGCGTCGTGTTCTTTCCATTAACGATCAGGACAAGATGCGCCGGTTGAGCCCGCTACGTGGTCGACTGGATGCTTCCAACCGCAGCGTGGTCTCGTCTAGCAGCGAGAGCATGGTCAGCGGTTATTCCTTGTCCGAAATCGACGGAGACGGAGCTTCGATCAGGCCTCAGTCGACTAGGGATGGACACGGTCTTCCGGACGGCGACGGCATGGTGACTCCCAAAGCTTCCGCCTTAGGATATACAGAGAATGGCCAGGCCTACTTCATGGCCGCAGATGATATTCCCCCTGTGCCACCGATTCCCCCGTCCTTGTCGGTCACCGGAGGTATGTCGAACGACTCGCAGCGATCCCTGGCGTCAGAGCGACCATCCACTGCACCAGGGCCGCGTCGGCTGCCAACAGCAAACGGCAAACCCGGCACACCTGCCGCGCCTCACCACGGCAAATCTCTCAACAAGCACAAGAGCCGGTCCAGCACGGGTCTCGCAGCTGCAGCGGCTGATGGTGACTACTCCAGAGGCCATGTCTACGACGGGGTGCCAGACCTGTCCGAGCCAACGGACAGTGCCCAGCGCCGTGATGTGCAGAACCTTCTGAATGGGTTTTTGTCTCCGGCACATGCAGAGTCGCAGTCGCGCCCCGGCAGGCCCCGTGGTGCTTCTCGACGGGGCATTACTGGAGGAATCGGCCGTCCGCCTTATTGATGACGTATCCTCCTTTGAAGAACTACTACTCTCCTTCATTTACTTTTTCTTTCCTATTTCCGACTATTGCATTTGCATTACTTACTTCCATCCATCCGGG